CCAAAATGGCCCAAGGCCTCCAGACGCTCCAGGAGTGCCCCGAAATGGCTGGGCCCGGGCCCAGCCTGGCCCTGGAGCCAGCCCAAGCGGTGGCCCAAGAACCATTCCGCGAACCCGTTCGGGAACGGGTTCGGGAGCCGGCTCGGGAGCCCGTCGGGGAACCAGTTCGGGAACTGGCTCGGGAACCCATGCAGGAGCCGGTTCGGGCCCCCAAGAGAAACCCAACGGCCTCCAGTGGCCCACAAGCGTACTGCCAAGAGGCGCCCACATCCAAAAATCCGCGAAAACATTTATGGTTGATTCCTGGGCCGCTCAGGCGGATCCCGATCTTCGACCAACGGTTACCCCCTGTTTGTTCCACTGTTTGTTCGCACACTTCCCTGGTCAAAGCAACTCGTTTGGGCATCGTTTCTGTATGAGCTACCGAGGGTGCGCGAAAAAGGGCAAAAATTCAGTTCCACCGTCCGGGTGAAGACTCCAATCCTTGCATAAATAACTTTTTCTGGAAGCCTTTCTTTGAGCCTGTGCACCCCCTCCCGCTGGTAGTTGGTGAGATGAGCTACGGCTTGTATGTCGGCGTCGCTGGGTTCGAAGAGAGACCTCGGACTCCTCTGCGACAAGCAGCCGCGCTTGCCACAGAAGCTGGAGATCCGTTCGCCCAACAGTGATGGGTATCGTGCGCTTGCCTGCCCGCCAAAGAATGATCCTGGCCAGGTGGCCCAACCATATGCAGTCATGACTACCGGGTTGTGAGTATTCCCTCCGGTGGGGCTCTGTGGCAGCATGCGAACGCAGCTGCTAGGGCCTTCGGCGGGGCTCCCTATGGTCAGGTCAGGTCAGATGCCGTGCATATGTCAGACGCGTTGGCAAAAACATCTGGACCCCTATTGGACCGATGCTAGGTGGCGCGCCTACCCATTGCCGTAAGAGCCCCTCCAGGTAGTGATAGCACGTTGCGGAAAAAAACGCGCATCACGACTGCGAAGCAGAAACACTCAGCGCGTCACGATTGTGACGCAGATAATACCGCGCCAGACTGAAACATAGGATGACTAGCAAGTACGAGGGGAAGACGGGGGCGGGCAGCATCACATGAGAGGTCATCAACTCACTAGCCCCATGGCACATGCTCATTTCGCCCATTGCTGTCGCGGGTGCCCTCTGCCTCGATGGCAAGACGACGTATTAAAGAATACACAAGCTGGCCCACGATACTCCTGCACAGTGCAATCTGCTTATTGTGCAAAGCCTGTGACAAAGACAACGATTCTATCCTCTCCAGAACAGTCGCGTTAGAGATTCTGGATACAAATGAATGCGTAATACCAAGGATGTTGCGCAAACGCTTGCAATGGAAGCATCTAGACGATCCCTCTCTGCCTTCAGCAACCATAGAGAGTCCAAAGTATAGATCAGCCTGCTGACCACACAACTCCAATAGGCATGTTGCCCGGCCATCGCAAAACACGACTCCTCCAAAGTGGATCGCCTCTCCTACGCAAGATCCTCGCTAAGTTGTTCAAGCGCACTCTGACTTCTAATTTGTATATGCGCGGTCTTGTCCCAGTTCAGATCCACGCCGTTGCCATGGCCCTCCAAGACGATGTTGCCCAACATCTGCTGCAAGTTGCTGGCGTGGGTTGACACGAGCAAGGTGTCGTCCGCGTAAAGCAGGTCTCAGACGACGACGTGTTCCGGCTATTCCGCAGGCAGCCGATCAGAATGCGCATCGTGAAGAAGAATGGTATGCACAATGATGAACAAGTACGGGGACAAAGGGCAACGTTGGGCGATGCCCGCCGCCTGTCTCCTTTCAACTGAGCAGCCGAAATGATCCACTATCGCGAAATATGCGCACGCGGAAATTGCCCGGATCATGTCCACAATGGGATCGGGAATGCCAACACGCACCAATGCCTTGCATAAGCAATCTGGTTCGACACGGTGGAAAGCTTTTGCCCAATCCGACAGTATAAGTAGCAACCCCTGGTTGTTGTCTTAATGGGCGGTGTCAATGATTCTCCGGGGATGATCGATAATGTTGCTGCCGTGCCGCATTTCGGCCGGAAGCGAAAGTGAAATTGTCGCATTCTACCTTCAGCCCCTCCTTCAATAAGCCCCGCGTGCAGCAAAGATATGACGGCACTTGTTGGGTAGCGTCGCGCCCCCCCCCCCCCCCCCCCCACCTCTTAAACAAGTGGCACGTGTGCCATGGCTCTTGCACAAAAAGGAAGGGGGAGGAGGAGGATGTGGAGGAGGAGGGGGGGGGAGAGGATGCCAACAAAACAGGGCCGCAAGAGGGGCTCCAGAGGGCGAGCGCGAGGAGACTCAAAGGGCCGCCCCCCGCAAGATGGTTTCTTCCTTCCTGGTTCCCTCGTCCTTCCTCCTTCCTCCTTCCTCTCCGCCGCCATCCTGTATCTTCCCTCCTGCCTCTTCCTCCTCCTCCTCCTCCTCCTCCTCTTCCTCCTCCTTCTCCTCCTGACTCACCAGAACGCATCGC